TCTGCTACTGAGTATCTCGTTGGACTTTGTGAACACAAACTGTCTCATACAGCATCCAGTTCTGTCTTGCCATCGTTGCTTTCGCAGTTAATCAAGCTCCGCTCTATTTTGATGCTGTGATTCCACTAATAATCCTCATTTTGGCTTCAACTTCTTTTTGTCTTTCTTTTAAATGTTGAAGGTGTCACGAAATTGCATTTGTCTCTATATTATCACTTTTTACGTGATGATTAGTTTTTGGACACGTTCCATATTGCCTGCTGTGCTTCTCTTTTTGTGCGTTCTATATCATACGCTATTTTGTGGAACTTCGCAATCTGCCCACCTATTCTCATTTTCAACAATTTTATACTTTCAGTTTCAGCGCCACGATTGAGTAGCAGTTGACCTTTTGTGCATTCTATAGTGGTCGACAATACTTGGTAAGGGATGGGTTCTTGGTTAGCTTTGAAAAAAAATATCTTGTTGCGAGATTAATGAGCTGTGTAGTTCAAAACTTGCAGTCCAAAACGCATCTTGTTTCAAACTTACCTTCTGTCTTCCAATCGATTTCGCTTACTTTTTAGGTCCGGTGGAAGATGGCGGGCGGAGGGGAAGAGCATGCAGCGCATGCATCCGCCCAAGATGATGCCGACGATTCTGATGGGGATGGCGCTGACGAGGTTTGTCGTAGGATATAATAATTAGCCTGTTTCGTTCTTGAGATATCTCTATTCTGTTATTTGGAAGTCTCTTTCTTCTAGATTTTGGAGGAATCCCCGTGTAAGCGGTGGTCAAAAAGGCGCGAGCAAGTTAAACAAAGGGATGTACCTGGTATTGACGTCGCTTACTTGGCAATGGACAATGACACTGGTAACCTCATTCATACTGGTTCATAAGCCAAAACGTACCTCTTTTAATTTTTCAGGTAATGAGGTTGTGTGGAACGAAGTGCAATTCTCCGAGCGCAAGAATTTTCGCGCTCAAGAGGTTTGTCTCCTTTTATGGTTTATGATCAACTTTGCCCACGAAAGATCGCATGGGAGTACTAATGTAGGTCCGGCTGCAGATACTTTGATGTGAATTTATTTATAGTCAAGGTGTCGAGGAGTAAATTTGGTATTTCACTTTAAGTTAGGTCCTAAAAACAACATTTGATTTGCATTAAGTTTTCAAAAAAAAGGAGATTTTTGCAGGAGAAGATCAATGCCGTTTTTGACAATCTTACTCAGTTAGTTCATACGAATCTAG